AGAAGAAGAAGAAGAAGAAGAAGAAGAAGAAGAAGAAGAATAAGAGGAAGGCAAACTCTCCTCCAAATATTTTTGGGTGGCAAAATCACCCTTTTCCTCAATAGAAGACGAATGAGGGACATGGAAATAATCATAGAAAAGGGGGTCCCTAATAGGCTCATCAACAAAGGAAGGGAGGAATATAGGAGTGTAGGGGATATTGTTGAAGTTCCTTGAAAAAGGGACTTGAAAGGAGGGAATAGGAGATATGGTCTCACTAATGAACTCTTCCTCACCACCATGCCTCTAATCACCAATAAGAGCATAAAATCAATCATGGAATCCTCAACAGAACAACACTCGTGATCTCCATCTCCCTCAAACATCCAATCTCCAAGGGAAACTATATAATCCCATCCATTACAACCATGAACAACAACTCCCTCATGATCCTTAAAACCCAAAGTCTCAAAACCATGCATGAATGGATGAAAATTCATTTCAAACTCATCTCTCTTCCATGAATCATCCTTAATGAACTCACTAAAAAGACTATGAGTTTTCATTTGACACTCAAATAACCAAGATTGGAATAATCAATATAAAGATCATGAGCATATATATCACATTGGGGAGTGGGGGCACAATTAAGCACATGAGATTCATCATTAAGAGAAAGAAGCACATCACAAGAACGCATGGAAAATAATGAAGAATATTGAAACACACCATTAACATCAACTTGAGCATGTACCTCATCATCACGAACAAAAGGGGAAATAGAGTTGAAATCATTTGTTCTAGGTTCACTTATGGGATCATGTGACAAATCATGGGAAATCATGCTAACATTAGAAGAATCAAAACATTGCACATAACTGACAAGGGAATAAACACGTCGTCAATTGTTTAACCCTAGATCAAATAAAATTTATACAACCTAAACAAACTTAATACGAGTATAAGGCAAGCATAGGGGTCGAACCACAGAGAACGAATAAACACCACCAAATGTTATCGACAATTAAGCTAGTTCGGAATAAGAGATAAATAAACTAAAGTCTAAAGATGCTAAAATAAGAAATAAAACACTAAGGGAAATGGTTTAGGTATAGCATTCACTTGAACATAAACAAAGGCATAGAAATTGAATTAATTATGAACTAAACATGCTCGAATATCGAAAAAAAGGATCCAATCTAGCCGCCTTCCGGGGTCAATTGGCTTCTCCTAACATAGCCACTATGTTTCCACATTAGAACCATATACTAGGAGGTACTATTAAATAACAATCGATAGTAATGAACCTTAACTAAGTCAACTTCCGTTCCTTGTTAGCAAAGATTCACCTTTAATCAACCAAAAATGTGCACTTGCAAGAAGATTAAAGAATATCAAGCATATAAAGACTTTAATCACAAATAAATCAATTCTAAACCCTAGAACATGCTCAAGATCCAACTACACCACAACCATCCCCTTAATGGGGAAATTACTCACTAATCATGCTAATAACAAGATTAATTAACAAATAATCAAGAATAAACATGATTAACAAGCAATACCAACAACTAAAATAATAATCAAAATAAAGCAAATAAAAATAGAGGAGAGAGAGTTAGAGATTCTAATTGATTGAATGTGAAAATCTACAAGCAAGATGATCAATCTTCCTCTTCAATATCCAAGCTCAACAATGGTGAAACCCCTTACTTTCTCTCTCTAAACTACTCTAATCCTACCCTAAACCTAGAGAGTGAAGCTCTCCTAAAAACTAATTAGAGAGTAGAATAATTAATTGTTTTTCCTCTCCCCCTTTTCTAATTACCCCAAAAATAGGTATATATACCAAGCTAATAAAATACTAAGTAAATAAAAGAAAAGAAAAGAAAGTAAAAAGGAAAAATAAAATAAGAAACTAAATATAAAAATAAAAGAAAGAAATAAGAAAAAGGGAAAAGAAAGAAATAAAAATAAAAGGAAAAGGAAAATTAAAACCAAAAATCCCCCCCCCCCCCCCCCAAAATCATCAGACCCTTTTCCCCCTCTTCTTCGACATTTTGGCTGCTCTAAAAATGGGAGATGATCCCCTACTTTGCGCCTAACCAAAATCCATCATCAAGCTTCCATATGAAATCGCCACCATTCATCTTCAACAGCTGTCATTGAGCATCAATTCAAGCCATTGATCATCCTTAATAACCACGTGTGAAGCTCGTGGAGTGGTTCGGTCGAACCATGGGTTGGTGTGGCCGAACTACGGGGTTGGTTCGGTCGAACCATGGGTGTGTTCGACCACACCTCTTCAAATTACAAAACCCCAAAATTTCCTGACCCGTACTTTGACCGAACTCTCAACGGTTTGCTCGAACTTGATTAATTTTCTATTTGCTCTGATTTGTGATGCAATGGTGGGCGATTTTTTGCTGTGGTTGGAGAAGTGGAGGAGCTGCGGCAGGGGGCGGTGGCCGGAAATTGCGCGGCTGCTGATGTAATTGAAGGTTGGACTGGTGGCATGGCTGGTTAGAGTTGCGGGTGCAGGTGGACGGTGGTGCAGGGGTTGTTGTTGTGGGTTGCGATTAATTGCGGGTTGGGGTGCGTGGATTAGTTTTGTGGTGTGGTGAAGGTTGTAGGTGGAGCTGGTGGTTGCAAATTGTTTGGTGGTTGATTGTGGTCAGGTGTTGATTGGAGATGGTTGTAATTGCGGTTGTGCTTTGGTGTTTATGGGGTGGTTGTGACGGCTGGAATTGCTAGATGCAAAGGTGAGCTGGTGTGGCTGGGTTGTGGTTTAATTGGTGAATTGTAGAGTGGCTGATTTGGGGTTGACATCAGCTGGGCAGTGCTGCTGTGGTTGGAGGTTGGTGGTGGCTGTTGTTATTGCTGGAGCAGGGGAGTTGTTAGGTGGGTAAAATTGGTGGGTGATGGTGGTGGTGCGGCTGCTGGTTTGTGTGGTGAAGGGTAAGGTGAAATGTGGGGTGAAGGTTAAGGGGCAACAATAGATTGGTGTGTGAGCATGTCTTGGGAATTCGCCTTGGACCTCGAACCCAAACTCCTACACACAAAACCGAGAATAGAATTGGGACAAAGAATAAAATAAAATAAATAAAATAGAAAATAAAAGAAATAACACTAAACTAATAAAAATTAAATAAAACTATACAAGTAAATAAAATCAAATAAAATAACAAATTAAATTTAAAACTAATAAAAACTATGAAAGTAACAAAGAAAAGGAACGAAATAAAATAAATCGAAAGCAAATAAAATATGAAAATAAACTAGACACTAATTAAATAAAGAAATTAAATTAAAACATACTAAAACTAAGAAATAAACTAGAAACTTTATTAAAAAGAAAATAAGAGAATAAAAGGGAAAAATAAGGTAAAATAAACACGTAAATGACTCTAAAAAAATACTTCCTAAGGGTGACATAAATGTCACTCATCAATAACCATTAGAATCATAATTACCCCTATTATAGACATCCCTAGAAAACCAAACAAAAAAATCCCAAGCATCATCATCAATTGACAATGCTCTAAATTCACCATTGTGCATGCTTTCAACTACGTCCCTAGTTTGCTCATTCAAACAAAAATAACAAGTCTCACAACCCTCCCAAATACTACAACAATTATAGTTCAAAAACCCTATAAGTCTATGGAAATATTCACAAAAAGGTTCATTGTCATATTGAGGAAACGAGAGACATGCCATTTTTTTATACACAAAACAAACAAAAATCAAATAAAAGAAAAGTTTATACAAAGACCTAGACTCAAGCAATCAAAAACACTCAAACATAGACATCGTTCCCCGGCAACGACGCCATTTTGACGAGGGGTGGAACTTAGGTCGTTGACTAACCTCCTCACGGCCAAAAATTTTTTTATTATATTCCTAAATTAACTCCTAAACAAGTCTAGTGGTAAGTTCGGAGTCAAACAATAAGGAACGTTAATGTTAGATTGTTATCGATCTAATGCTTAAGCTACGCCGAAATCGGTTTATGGATAGTGGACACTACAGCTACACTAACACACATATAAAGAACAAAATAGTATAAAGTCTACTAGGGGTAAAGATCCACTTTGAACAATTAACACGTTACCGATAATCCATTTGATAATCAATCATGCAAAGAAAGAATTAAAATGAGAATTAATTACACTCAAGAGAAATCTCTCAAATTCCTAGCCTAGATCCCTCATTGACTAGGTGAATAGAAGAAATTTACCCAATATGTAATCAAGTATAATAAGTATAATTCACAATCCCTTCTCAAACAAGAACTAATATGCAATTAAGTTTGCTATCAGGGGAGATCAATCCAATCTAAAACAAACAACATGCCATCATCAATTCAATCAATTTAATCACACAATTATCATCAAACTTATCTCAAATAACTCAATCAACCATTACAAAGCTTCACTCAATACCTAGTAGAAGGAAATCTACTCAAACATGATTAACAAAGAAATTAAAGAAAGCATAAAAAGAAAAGAGAGTAAGAATGCTCATTGATATAAGATGGAGATCTTCAAATCATCAAATTCCTCCTTTGATTATCCAAAATCCATGAAAAACATTGTGTTTCTCACTTTCTCACTCTTAAATTTGAGAGTTTCTCTCTCTAAAAACCTAAAACATCTAAAAACTATTGAAGAAATGAATTTCTCTCTCTAAAATGAGCAAAAAATCTATTTATACTCCTTACTAAATTTCCTAGGAAGCTTCGCAAAAAATCGAGCAGCACATATAGGAGCGGGCGCTCCAAATGTCGTGCACGGGCGCTCCTAGATGAAGCAAAATGAGGCAGAATCGTCCAGACAATTTGGAGCGAGCGCTCCTCATAGACTGCATAGGCATTTGAAGTTCGATCTTTGCAAATCAAGTGCACATTTCTTCATTACTTGTTCTTTTATGCTTTATATTTCGTCAATCTTGAACAATGATCTTATTCAAGTGTTTCTAAACATAAGTATAAACCAATAAAGTTTAATCTAATTCCATAAGAAACCAAAATATGCAAGAAAAGCCAAAATTGAGCAATAACGACATTTCACATGCAAACACGACAACTGTAATAAAACGTTATTAAATCCAAGTAAAAATACACCAAAACTATGAAAAACTAACTAGAAACTCCTAAAACACAGTGACATAAATGACACTTATCACACCGCCACCCCTTTACCACCGACTTCCTTTAACCGTCGTTAATTCGAACCAAGGACAACCATCGTCGCTGCCGCTTTCTATTTTTTAAATTTACAACAATGGAAGTCAGGGTTTCTGGTTGTATTTATTTTGAATCAATTCAATGTGCGTGTGTTTTCAAGCCTTTTCGATCCTCTAATTTGATTTCGGTAATTTCTTAGTTTTCTTTCTTAATTTCTCAATTATTTCTATTTAATTGTGTTTTACATTTATTGAATTGATATTTTTTGCTTTAAATATTGTACAATTTGGCCTGTAATTGTCGTTCTTTGGCAGGATTACTCTTCGTAATTCATTTTAATTTATAGAATTATAATTGTTAGCTACTTCGCAATCCAAATTATTCAAGTTTAATGCTTTAATTTTTCCTCTGTTTGCTTGACATATGATATGACTTGTTTAGCCCGACATTAGGTTGAGTACTGTAGTGAACTCAGTATTAATTATCTGTTCATTTTTTGGGGGTGATTTAGTTGTGAATGGCTTTTTAAGAAATTTGATCAATTGCATGACATATTCTTAAAGTTGGTGGAGTACTGCAGTGTATTTATGTATTATTGATCTATTTAACTTCAGGGGTGATTCAGTATCTAGAAAAGTTGTGAATGGTCTATTTCGATTACAAATTTGATGCTATAATGAATTTTGATGTTAATTTTTTTTGGTTCATATTTAGGGAAAACAAGAAAATGACGAGAAGAACAATACATAAATGGTCAATGAGGCTTCTTTGTGCTATTGGAAGTGCAGTTGGTAATATGCTCTTTATTTATTTTTGTAATCCATATATTCAAGTGTTTTTTTGTTTTGAAAACAACATATTCAAGTTTTTTTTAATTTAAATTGAAAATCATACAGGTTTCTACATGGTTGTTGTGTTAAGGCAAACGCAAAATAGAGATAAGATGATGGCTGAATTGGGCAACATTAAATCGACTGACAGTGGCATGGAATAGGATTCAGTTGAGGGAACAGGTTTAAGTGGGTTTTGTATAATTTTTTATAAGAATATTGATTGTAATATTTGTGAGTAACTCAGTATGTTTTCGGTACAGATTTTGTATGTTGCAAGTATACACCTTGTATTTTTTGTTTAATTGATACTTCGTATTATATATATTAAATTATGAATAGTTATTTTAAAAAAAAAATAGAGACCATTTATTTAAAATAGATGGTCTTGGTTTTTTCAAAAATTGAGATCACCTATTCTAAGTAAGTGGTCTCTCTTTTTAAAATAAGAGACCACTTTTGATGAAATGGTCTCTTAGGCCAAAGACACCTGTGAGCTAGAGACCACCCCTAAGGAGTCTCTTTGGCCATTTTTATATGGTCTCTTTGGCCAATTTTGTAGTAGTTTAGGTGTGATATAGTCCAAAGGATTGAACATATCACTTCCCATATGATCCTCATCAATGTGAAATGTCCCTAATCGGGATACATTGTTGTTAGGTTTAGGCGTGGGAATTCTCCCATCGTCAACTAAATCTTGTATCTTGTGCTTTAGGACATAGAAACGTTTGTTATCATGCCCAATGCCTCTATGATAAGTACAATAGGCATTGCCATCCCATTTAGCGTATCATCTTTCTGGTGGAATGGGTAGCGATGGCCCTGTTGGTGCAAGTAAACCTTTTTCTCTTAATTTTCTAACAACTCCTTGTAACTCACAAGAAATTGTGTAAATCTTCTTTCTTTTGTCCGCCTCTTTTGAGGATCATTACTATGATATTCATTTGTGCTATTATATTGCGTAGAAGTCGCAAATACATCAATAGAGGATGAAGTATTATCATTCCCCTTCTTGTAGTTATTCTTAGGTTGATGATGATGAGGCTTATTTTCTTTTTCTTTAGCAATATCATCTTCAATCCTAGTAGCCACATAATAGACCTTTTGAAAAGTGTCTAAACCAAGGTAGCGTAGATGTTTGTTTTACTTTTCATGACAATTGTCAATAAACTTTTGTATTAACTCGAGTTCAGGTGGCCTTTGGGCAAGGTGGGCCGCCTTTTCTCGCCATCTACCATTAAAAAGCAAGGAAACCTTCATCGTTGTCTTGCTTAAGCATCTCGAGTTCACGTAAAATCAATTTATACTCTACGTTACTCTCATATTGGGTGATGAAAGCCCAAACTACATCTTCCCATGTTGTCTTGAATTTTGCATCTAGCCCATAGTACCACTCTTTCGCGGCTGGGTCTAGAGATAAAGGAAAACTCAAAGCGTAAAGCTTAGGATCAACTCCCTTTAATGCCATGGTGCCAGTAAAACACATTAAATGATTTTTTGGGTTATTGGTCACCTTGAATATTGGTAAGTCCGTAGCTACAAAATTTTCCGGTAAAGAAAGTCATGTGGGAGGAGCAATGCAAACTTTTCTGCGTCAAAGTACTTGATCCCCATCGTAGAACGAAGCACAAGCTTCTCCAACGACTTTTCTTTAATGGACAATAGTTCCATCTTTTGTTGCAAGGCCAAAGTTTTGGCATTTTTTCTTTTCAGCCTTTTCAAGTTTCTTAATTCTTCTCTCCTCGGCTTCTTGAGCCTTTTCTTCTCTCAAACGAGCAATCTCTACTTAAAGTTGCTTTATGGTTGACATTGTTGTTGGGTTAGAATTAGTTGTTGAGGGAAGGTGGTTCAAAAGGAGTGGATTGTTTGATGGTAAACGTAGAATGTGAGCGCCCGGGAGTCTTTGTTTCCAAGCATGGAAACCGGCCCTAAAAGACGTACGAAAGGATATGTAAATCGATAAGCTTGTTTAGGAGACAAAAGAAGAAAAAAAGGAAGAAAAAACACAATATGTATTTGAATGGATAACACCACCATAAAACAATTCTTTGATAAAGATATTATTTGAACGAACCAATTTGTTTTTCGAAAAATAAAAAAGGTTGTAACAGTAAGCGCGTGTAAGTAACCAGGTTGCGTGCGGAAGGCGCGCACATCCCAAGCTCTTGCGCTGGACGTGGTCGCGCAACTCAACGAGTTGCATGTGCCACCAGCTCGTGCAATTTTTTTTAATTCGAGCAGTTTTTTTTTTTTTTTGTATTTCATTTTTTTCTCGATTTTTTTGTTACCCCTCGAATACGACTAAAAATTACAAAGGGATAACTTCATAATTGGGAACCTAAACCAAGTTAAAATAAAGAAAAAAGTAATCCTAAAAACGTCACACATAGTAATGTAATCACATAAACATATAATAAGCCAACGTTCACACAAGGCATTTCTAAGGTCGTAAGCTTAGGTGTCCAAAGGTACCATATCTTAAGGAACAATGCACAAATCAATTACTCAACGTGTTGACGTTGGCGATATGGGTGGGATGATTGTTATTGATTTCGAGATAGAAGCCTAGTGTTGGCAACCCCTAGTCAATGAGCCAATCTCCAAAGGTTATAATGTGCTATGATTATGCATGATGCAAGTTGGTTGTTTGGTTTTTACTTTTGTGAAAAAGGAATATATTATACATTCAAGTCTCGCTCTCTAACTAGAGATTATCCAAGTTAATTCTCGTTACAACCCATAGGCAACTTGGACCATAACAAAAAAAAATCTTATAACCTCTAAGTCCCCAGTTGAGTCGCCACTGTGTAGACACCCATTTGTGTCTCCCCAAAACCAAATCCGGTGATGAGTACCTTTCACGTCGAATTGTAATCGAATGAAGTGAAAGTGTGGAAAGTCTAGTGTTGCGGATAGTTTTAATTTCTTTTCTTCTCTCTGTTTTTGAAAATCTATTTTAAGAAAACAACTAATTCAATTTGGTTGGTCCATGATATGGGTCCAATAGTAGTGTAGTTGGATAGGGCTTGAAAAGAGCTTTCCAACGATATATTATAAGCCCAATTCCGATGAATAATGAGGAAATTATGGTCAAAATACTAAATTGGGCCCGGTTTGAACCTTGTATGCGGCCCAATGATCTAGGGGAGGGCCTAATCTGGATTTATCATTCCCATGCAATTAGGAATGGTTTTAGTCTTCTAAATTCTTCTAGAAGGCTCTTTTCATTCCTAATTCAATTAGCATTGATAAATTGACTTTTGTTGACTTTTTAGAGTTTTAATCAGAATAAAAGAATGTTTTTGAGGAAAATACGATTTTATCCTCCTGTACAGTTAATTTCTATCTGATTTTAGAAAACGCGTCAAAAATTTAGTCCGCGCCAAACGCCAGTCATTAGCGACTGGCGCTAAGCCTGGCGCTAGCGTTAGCGCCTGGCGCTAATATCAACGTCTGGCGCTAACCTTGTTCTTGCGCGTCAGAACTCTGTTTCGATTTTTTATCTTTATAGCTGATTTTCTCTATAAATAGCCTTCTAAAAACTCCGTTTTCAGTCATTTAGCATCATCAATCCTCATCTACAACCTCTAATCTACAATCATCAACTTTCTCTCTAAAGCTTCTTTCTCTCTCTTTCTTTTCTCCCTACCTTTCTTACAAAATTTCGCATTCACAAGACCTAGATACACCTAGCATTATTCGAAGTTTCCTTCAGCCTAGATGTGAAAGGTTTTAATTTCTGAGGGTTTAGTCTCAAACCTCTTTTTCAATTATTTAATTTAATTGTTTTGATTATTATTTTCCTTGAAGTTACTAACGTGTGTATTTTTTTATTAGAAAGAGGTACGAGGCATCTAAGTAAGTGATTTAATAGATTTTATTAATATTATTATGCAGAAATCATGCTTAGGTTGTTATTATGATTCCTAATGTTATGTTAGGACGTTTTGATCTTCCTAGTATCATGTCTAGGGTGACTTTAATATCAAGTATGATTAAAATTATGATGCCTTTTATGTTCTTCCTAATATTTATGATTGTTAGTATCATGTTAGGGTTAAAGATTTGATTTTTATGGCTTAGTGACATGCTAGGGTTTGTTATTAATCTTGTTAGTATCATGCCTAGGATCTTGCTATTATTATGCTTTAACATGATTATGATTATTTTTATGATTCATGATTATTTATGATTATAATTATGATTATTATTTTGTTGCTTGATATTTATTGTTATTGCTTGATCACGCCTTTTATGCATGTTTAAAGGGAATTGGTACTTGTAATCACGCTTAATAAGATAATTAATAATCTTGTTTGGGGTTAATATGATTATAATTCAAGTGATCGCCAATAATAGTTTTATTTGTGCATTAATATTCAACCAACATAGATAAACAGGTATAGGGTTCCTATTGATTGCATGTTAGTCAGAAAGCGCACATGAATACGATCAGAATAAAGTAGAGGCCTATTACTAGGGCAGGTTCAATCTCTTTTAGGTTGGATTTGTACCTTCATCCCCGAACTACCAGTCATGGTTCAAGACCTATTGGAGTTGACGATCTCTTAGATCGTTATGGGGTGTAACCTTCACCCTGTGAACGGTTTACAAGTTCCTAAAACTTGTTTGCGACTCTTTTGCTCTATCTTCTTTCCCTTTGGACGCCACCGTACTTTAGTGTATGATCACAGTGGGGTTCAAGCTAGGGATAATGCTTGAAATATTCCCTACAGTTTTTAGCGACTCCACTGGGAGGGATTTCTATTTTAATTCCTGAAATTTATTTCGGCAATGATTTAGAATGAGTCGATGAGACTCGAAAAGTTCTAAGTATTTCATGTGCGTAATTTTGATTAATATTATTGTTATATGCATAAAAAAGATCTCATTGGAAAGACCATCCATAATGAGTTAAAACATAGGATTTTTACACGTAGGAAATTTGAGGAATATCTTTCAAAACTAGGATCGAAATAACAGTGTGCCAAACTAGAAAATTTTATCGAGCACAGAAAGCTACTGCGGCATGTAGGAACTAGCGTCAGCGAACGAAGATTAGCGCTAGTATTTTGACTTTAGCACTAGACGACAGCTTCTGTCGCCAGACGCTAAAGCCAAAAGCTGGCGCCGACCTTTGTTTGCTGGCGCCAAGTTCTTCTAATACCGAGCCAGAAATATGCGTTCTAATTTTGACCAGTTTTTAGCATTGTTTGCTCGATCCTACTTCCTGATTGAGTTTTTCTCACTTTTCTGAAACCCATATGTGTTCTACATATGGACATAACCCTCTGGGAATTCATGCTCCATCTACCTGATTGAACGCTCTGAGCAACAAAAG